TCTTTTCCAGAGACAGTTGTAAGCACTGTGTAACTGCCTCGAGGGTGCTTGACCATTTTAACACAACGTGGTGCGATCATCCCCCTTGCGCGGAGTGAGGGTTCTCGACCCCGCACAACATGATCCACTCGACCACCATTATGGTTACCGCCAAAAAAAAAAAAATGGAGGTAAAAAAAAAAAAAACGGTAGCCTTGTTGCCGAGCTCACGAAGTGAATTGGCTTGTTTTACAACGTCGTTGCCAAGCGACGAAACCCCATCCCGATGGCAAACACCGGGGGGGGTGGCTTGTTTTACAACGTCGTTGCCAAGCGACGAAAACAAACAACGGGGAGTGAAAAAATGTGAGAATTGTCCGGGATGGGCCATATATGTGTTTGGAGAACGACCACCAGGGGACCGAGGCAGAGATCGCTACGGATACCCCGTTCCAGCACCAATGTCGACCAGCCAGGCTTCTACGATTTCGGGAGTCCTCCCTCACGAGTAGGTGTTGCCGTATTTATGCCTTCTCATCGATCACGAAGGGAATGACCAACATAATCAATATAGCCGGGATGACAGTAGTCACCCTAGGGTGAGAAGGGTTTTCCCCCAATGACGTTGTGAATTCAGACGCCGATGAATCAGCCATATCAACCTGAAACTAACTGCGAGCAGAAATAGCAACGAGAGCACATCGAATCCAGGCACCGATGGACCAACAACGTCGCCCCGTACCCAATAACGGCCAGGGAGAACAAAAGCAAGGGACAGATTGATCTAGATACCGATGAACCAACCATCACCAGTCCTGCTCACTAAAAACCACCAGACACATCGACAGTCTCTGCGTTTCGCCCTAACACCGCAACACTCACCGACAGAATCACTGTACTCGTTCGCCGCGACGGAGAAGAAGCAGCTAGCAGCGAGAACGATGATCACCACCATGTCCATCCGAAACCCCAGCCACCGCGCGGTGTACATCCACGCAAAGTAGGCCCTCGTGTTCATGTTGACCCGTTCTGTGAACTGGCTCAGGAAGCGGTCTAATACAGACGGAGGACGATCAACGGACAAGGCGGAGGTACCGCAGAAGAGATCAAGCGCATTGTACTGCGAACAGGGGGGTGGCCCCGCGGGCAGACTGATCACATGCTGCGGAAATGAGGGTAGTAGCCGGCGAGAGCGACCAATCATTGAACACGGCGCGCCACCATACCTACAGTGCCCCGTACAGTGTGGGTGGCATCGTCGCAGACCAAGCCTTTTGTACAGTCTATCCATCGGTGGCTTCAAATTTCACATTCATCATCACCCAACACAAGGCATGCATATCGCTCTCCACATGTGACACCCGTAGATATTCATCGGCGAACACACCTCCACCGTGCAACGCAGGGGATACGCTCCTACTGGGTTAGGACAGTTTCGAAAGGTCTACTACCGTTGGTATACGAGGGATGACAGCGGTGGGGACTCACTCTGGTTGCCGAAGGCTCGGATGGTGACAAGGCCGTCGAGCGTCTCGGACAGCTGGGAGTATACCGGACTGCGGGTCACCGCCTCCAGCCGCTTTTCGTGCACGTAGTAGCCACGGGCAAAAATAGTGAAAATGAAACATGTGGTGGTGACGCGAACTGTGAAGGCGTAGCTCCGTAGAGGAGTCCGTGCGAAAACTGGAAAAATATGCATAACACCCATAGAGGTGCGCCAATGAACATGTCTGGAAGTTGTGCGCTAGTCTCGCGAAGTTACGCTGTTCCTCTACTATAGGTTTGGTCGACAAACCTGGCAACGTGGCGCGTTCACTTTCTTTCAAGCGGAAACCGACGGATGGTAGAAGGACCACTGTGGTGTGAACCGCCCTATCCAGCAACCCTACCGTTTGTTCGAGAATGAAGTACGCACTGATCTTGAAAGTGTAGTTGACAAACGTAACTCGCTATCGTTGGTGTCATCCACGCTACACACGAACCTTTGCTTCCCTGCTCGTCTTCATGTAGAAACTCATCAGATATAGGAAGTACCACAGCGCCGGGACCATACTGTGACGGACCAGGATTTCGGACGGGAGCGGGACGGACAAAAGGAAAAACGTGGTTGTCACACGCGGTTAACGACAATGATGAACGCAATGATGCAGGAGGATCATGATGGAATTGGCGACGGTGGTTTGTCGTGAAATGAGAGCACAGCGAAGAAGCCATACCCGCTACTGTTCCATCACTGGAGCCTTGTTTCTCTCATGCTTGAACTAACTAATTATACTTTTGACGGAGGAAACGGTTGGGCGAAAGGAGTGGATGTCTTGAATCAATGCTACAACCAGAAGCATCAGAGACAACGGACGCATCTCGACATCAATTCCAAACCACTTATCGAAGACACGAAGACCCTACGTGAGTTTGCTGCCGATCGTCCATCACCGCAACAGACGCGATCATGCTGGTTCTGTTTTGCTCAACGACAACCCATACGTCACTCTCCAACAAGCTCTCAAGTAATTCCTCAACGAGCTACGTTTCATTCAGGTCTGAACGAACACCAGACACTTTGCTAGCCCAACTTCAAACCGGTCGAAAGCATCAAAGGACGCGCGACTGGCGGCGACCGTTCGGGATCGCTTTCGTTGCGCCGAACGTACGCGAAATCCCAACCCGTCACACCCTGTCCTACGCAATAGGGCAAAGATCCCACCATCACAGCAAGGCTTTTTTCACTCCACCCGTTCTCAAGCATGTGAATGTTGGTACTCTTTACCCCTCCTCCGCAATTGCTGCAAGCAAAAGTAATGTTTCCCTCAAGCTACAAATCATGTGAGGAACTGCAACAAGCTCCTTCGCAACAATTCCCTCGCACCAGAGCTTCAGGTATCTCTGCTCGTAGCGGATCCACGCGTGAAACGGCGAAACCTCAAACAACATGAAACGATTGACGGTGCTCAGCTCCGCGAGCTGTTCATCGGGCAGTGGTCCCCCCTTTTATGACGCTGTGCGAACCTGGCAACCCCGTTAGGGTGTTCCCGCTGGGCAAAGTTTGCAGAGATCTGCTCTCCTGTAAATCACCTTCTGTATCTCACCCGTGATAACAAGTATCTTCGCAAGGGAGAGTCCCCAGCTTTTCATATGGCGACTAATTCCGAGTTTCTAAAAGCAGCATTGCATGAGTTTTCCAGTACTCAACTTAGATTCTCAGTATCACAACGATCGCCAGGGAACAAATGACGACAACAATATGGTCACAGAAGAGAAGTTCCTAGATCCGGAGTACCACACGGTCGTCCGCATTGTGACATGGCAACACGTATCTTTGTTGTGCACGCCTACGTAGCACAAGCGGTATTCCTCACTGGGAGAAGAGATCGAACAACATCGCCGGCAGATTCATGAGACCATTCGCCTGTCGAAAGACAAGCCTGAGAATCACCCAGGAATTGACGAAAACGATCCTGGAAACATTCGGAATCGTCGAAAAAATCGCCTCTCCAAGGACAAACAAACCTGAGAACCACCCAAGGGTTGACGAAGAATATGATGAGGGTGCCGCCCGTCACCATGAAGCTGCAGATGATGAAGTCGTACAGGGTCATCGGCAGGAGGTCGTCCATGAAGTGCATGTCCTTCGTGAAACGGTTCAGGATCCTGGAGCACAACGTAGCGCCGTGCATTCAAAAGAGGAGGGGGGCAGGGTTTCCAGATGCCAAGTGAGTCACGGCGCTTGAGAACGTGATCATTCATCTCAGATTTCTGAGGTCGTCCCATGATAACGTTGAAAGTTGAGAGCAACGCGAAGTATCTAGCACCCATCCATCCACCCATCCACGTAGCGGCAACTGCATGCGAAACACATGCAGAAGCCCGTCCGGGAAGAACTCTAAGGTGCTTCTGAAACGGTTTCGAATCCTTGGTGAACCAACTGCCGTTGGATCGCTCTTAGGAAGATCGACAAACGGATCAGGAGGAACCATGAAAGGGGTCAACCATGTCAAGCGTGTGAACAGTACCTGCCGACCGGGTTGGAGTCGAAGAACAAGACCGGGGCACGGACGACCCGCTTGAGCATTCGATTGTGCAGCCGGTGCGAAGCCTGAGGGCAGAACAAAAGCACATAGGAGCCGCAACCCAACAGGAGGAAAACGCACGCCCATAAAATGACAAAGCGGAGAGACAAGAACACTTCGGCGTCTAAAAACGTCCTTCATGTTCGAGACGGCGGAACATAGGTTCGGGAAAAGAGAGCAACCTTCATCGGTTGTGTGCAAACACGACCTCCGAACGGACCCCGCGACGGCCGAGGCACTGCAAAAGCAAGACGGGGAAACCCTGGCAGGGGGGATTGGGAAGAGGGGGTCGGAGCTAGACCATACTCTCTTGCGCACGAGCAGAAACAAACACTCCCACGCCCGAACACTTCTTTCGCACCTTGACGAGACTGAAGAAGGTTAGGACAGCCCTGAAAAGGGAGACCACGACGGCTGCCGCGGTGAGAAGCGCGAGAACGATGACATACCGGCTCCGGTCCTGCTCCTCCTCGCTTTGGCGCGACCACCTGGCCAGCCACACCGTCACCCCCATCACCAGCACCTGGAGCGTAGTGTGGCGGGATTCCGTAAAAAAGAACGGCGCGCCGGAAAACGATGCTTTATATCTGGTCTTGACAACGAGGCGAAACTTCAGATAGCTGACGGTGGGATGCCCTCTAGAAAACACTCGGCGGACGATATCGCGCTTGAGGGTCCCATGAAGGAAGTGTTTACCGCAGGTTGAATAGGATATCCCACACCGTGTATTGTACCGATTGTCAAATCTCTGTTACTCCAGAGAACGCCAAACTGGAATGACGCGTTGTCGGAGAGTTCTCGACGGGACGGTTCCAACATTGCGATTTCGGCACCGCCCCCCTGTTGTTGCTGCAGAGCAATAGTCAATACACTTCGGTCCAGGGGAGTGTCGCAACTTATGCGACCTACCATATTACGGTACTACACCTCCAACCGCCTCGGTCTGTAGTAATGCCTGGTCCCGCTACCTGTCCTCCCGCCATGGAGAAGAAGATCAGCAGGACCTGCCAGACGCCGGCAGCCTCCCTGATGTACTCCAAGTAGGTGCTGCGCTTCAGCCCCCCAGACTGCGCCCGAAGCAAGATAGAGCAGCGAGCACCCACAAAGTCGAGTCACAACGAGCAGTGAGATAAGAGATGGGGAGGGCATGGAAAGGAGAAAATGAGAGCTACAGAACGGGCAGGTGATACACCCACCTTTCGTCTGCCGGCACTGACGTATGCCCGTCAACGACGTCGTCATGCTCTTGACCACGTGGGACCACCGCTTGTCGACCTGACGCCATTGTTGGTGACCAGCATGCTCGGGCGGATCCAGAACATTTGTTTCATGTTCCGTCTCCGTATCCTATAACGCGTCGCTGTTTCATTTCATGAGTAATCGTGCAAGGTCAGCCAACAACACTCTAACCACTACCCTCACCCCCATCACCTCTACAACAGACAACAACCCCCCCCCCTTTGCTGCCGTGGCTTGGCGCACCTCCTGGTCTTCCGAAACAACGAGTTCCGGCGGAGCCTCCTTATCACCCTCCGTCACCGGCTTCTCTTTTCCTGAATGACCGCCCGCTTCTGCTGCTACCGCGCTACTCGTCACCCTCGATCGCGGCTGCTGTGGCTGCTGCTGCTGGAATGACACCGCCTCCTCCGAGCGGTACATGGAACTCCGGCTGCGCGCCCTGTCCACCACAACCCCACCAATCCACTTCTCGGCCTCCGCCGCCACCAGCCCCCCCTCGTTGCTGTCCCCGTCCGCGTCGCCCCAACAGTCATCTTCGCCGTCGTGTCCGACACCCCCACCGTCCTTCTCCTCGACCCCCTCCTGCTGCTTATCTCGGTGGAGTTCAACCGAGGTGTTGTCGCCGCGCTCCACTTTCATAGCGGTCAGCTCCAAAGATGTTGAAGATCCGTCAGCCGCCGGGGCGCCCCCCTCAGATGGCGCCCCGCCCCTGCCGTCAAAAGCAGCGCTGGAGGCCGAGCGATATGAGGAGGAGGAGGATTGGGCCGCCGCCGCCGCCGCCGCCGCCGCCTGCGGCGGCCTCGTGTGGTAGGCGCTGCCGGCACTGCTGGTGCTGCGGACGCGGGAGGGCCGGGAAACTCCTCCTGCAGCGGTGATGCTATCGGCACTACTACCGTGGTCGACCTCGGTCTCTCCCGAGGTGGCTTTCGTTGGCGAGGTTGGACGCTCGAGCGCGGCGAAGCTCCCGCTGGCTTCGAGCTCTTGGTAGCTGAGGGTGGGCAAAACAACGTAGAAGAAAACGACAGAGCAGAAAGAAAGCGCGAAAGTGGCTGCGTGGATCCAACAATAGTAGCATGAAATGGCAGCGCAGAGAGAAGCGGCATTTTCTCGGACCCCGCCTTCGTCGGCCGCAGCAGCAGCAGCAGCAGCCCTTCAACGGTCGTCCGGGGGACAAAATGGATCGAGATGAACGGTTACACAAACATGCCACACCCGGTGACAATGCTGTTTTACGCGTCAACATGAGCCCAAAACCTTACCATTATCAGATCAATAGGGCATCAGACGATACCACATCCCCCACAGAATATCGCACCCGGCGCTCATTACTCAATAACCCAAAACTCCATCACCAAATTGCAGTGTTGGTGTGCCGACTATGGTCAACCCATCGTAAGGTAGGCAATGAGGCATGGAGGTTACCGTTTATCATCCTTGGGACGCAACCGTGGAGTAGAGCCCAAGACGCAAAGTATTCATGCAGAATTACCCCGGGATGCTTCGCTGAAGTACAACGGAACCCGCCACAATACGCAAAGACAATTGGACGGATAAACATACAGAAAAATGCATCCCGAAATAAGAAACGCACGGGTCGCGGCCGATCGATCTGCCGCGCCCACTCAAAGGATATGTTGTCTAAGCCGTTGGCGCCTGCGCCTATGTGTGTCGTTATTGTTGGCACTGCCCTACGACTGACCAACGAACCTATGTTGGATTGAGACACGTGAGGGTGGAGGGGAGTGTTGTGTATGCATTTTTGTTTGTATTGCTCTAAATCATTGTGTTTTAAGTATTGTGTGTATGGCGAATGGTGCCGCGAGTCGCACCTCCCTTTTCCGATGATCTTTCCGTGATGCATAACGATGATCTGGTCCACCTCGGGGTCCCTCAAGTAGTGCACCTGCTCACGACGGAGACGCACAAGAACGTAGATACGCCACGCGCCTATAGTTCGTCACGCGGACACAGAAGTGCAGCGATGATGTGACCAAAACGAAAACACGAACAAGGCGGTTGTGTGTGTACTCGGCAGGATACGAATGTCCGAGATCTCCGGGGGGTACGCAGATGTTGGCGTTTTTTTGCCAGCGCGCGTCAAGGAGATCCAGCTACAAGATACAAAGCAGCAGCAGGGGAAAAAATCAGTAGGAGATACAACGTGCCACATTTTTCGCGGTGAAATGCTGTGGAGGAAGCAAGAGGTCATGAGGGAGAAGGACGATACGGAGAAGGGATATGAGCATATCTAAGCGAGAACTATGATGTACCGGCAGGAGCAATGGCTGCCGGGATAGCTGGCGGAGCTGGGCTCGGCACACAACTTGTGAGCGGTTACAACAGTGGTCGGAAAGCGCCCAAATTCCCGAAAGATTCGGCGAAGGCCGTGAGCTGGCTGCGGAGAATGCGGAAGTTCCTGGCTAGCGAGGGTTTGGAGCAGACTCTTGAAGGCACCCACCGCACCGACCACGTTCCTGGCATCAGCTGTTCAGAACGCAAATATCTGAACCGGGTTCATGGTGCGGCGCTTGCTACGGCACACAAGCGGGCATGGGAATTCCTGCTAGAATCGACCCACGGCACGGTTACTGAAGAACTGTTAGCTGCTTGCGACTGTGTCTCTTGAGGCGTGGAGGGTGATCCACGGATGGCTGCCTACTTTTGACGCTGAAAAGACATTACTTGTTGAGACAACGTGAGTCCATATTGACATGTATCCCGGCGAGTACCCGAAGCCATTCTTCGCCAGAGTAGACGGGTTCGTCAACATCACGAGAACTGTCGGCATTGACAAGTTTGAGCGGGAAATCGTGCACATCATTGTCCCCCAGCTTGCCCACGAATACGATGTCGAACGCGAAGTCCATCCTGGCCGACCCCACCGTTCCACGAGTGAAGGTGGAAAACGTTGTTCGCACGGCATACGCGAACAACGTCATGATGAAGGAATTGGGCGCAGCGCCGGCGATCGGTGGTTTGGGGTACAGTCGTAGCGGAGACGGTCAGGGCGGTCAACAACGGCGGTGGCGGCAGCAGCGGCACCGGCACCAGCGGCAGCGGCAGCAGCAGCGGCGGCAGCAGCGGCAGCGGCACCAGCGGCACCAGCGGTAGTGGGTTCATCCACAACCACCACCTGCACACCACCCACCTCCAAAGTTCCCCAAGTGGCCCAAGTGGGGATCTGGGGGGCTCCATGACTATGGATGCAACGCCGCTTACCCTCAAGAGGAGTCAGCTCCGCCGCCAGGTGCCTCGATGGGTGCCTTTCATCAGTGCGTCAGGTACGGGAGGCATGGACACTCACTCGGTTGCCGCAATGAGCCACGACTCTTTGAAGGCAACTGCACTGCCTGCGGTGAGTATGGCCATCGGCGCCGCATGTGTTGCACAACCGGCGGCGTGCAACAGCACCTTCACGTCGGTGATGGAGAGGGTCTCAACGCGAGTGGCAACGGCACCACGCCGTACCAGCGGCCGAAGCGACCACGATGAAGGAGGCAAAGGCAGCGGAGCCGGCGACCGTCGGAACTGCTCCCCCAGCTTGGTGTGACGGAGGGGCAGCCGGAATACCCGCATCTGCAGTCCGACCAACTGTACTCGCAAAGGATTCGACCGACAGTGCCGCTCCCCATGCTTGCAACTTGAGCGGTAGTGATGGGAACAGCACCTGCAGCGAGAGCGGTGACCGGTGGAGGTGGTTTCCCTGCTAGCGGCGGCGGGGGGAATGATCCGGGCGCAGGCACTCGTGGCGGGAGAGGCGGCATCGCCAGCAACACCGGCGGCGAGAGCGGCGACCCCTGGCAACAGAGTTTTCCCTGCTGCGGCGGTGGGGGAGGCGGCCGCGGCGCCGTCATCAACTGGAATGGTGGCCATGGAAGCGTCGTCGACCGGCGGTCCGGTAGCCCCCGCTGTATCGTATAGGGGGGGGCGTCGCAGCGCCCACGTCAGCAGGTACACCGGCACCAGCAGTGCAAGAGATGGAGGACGAGTGCGATGGGGATAGCTGCTGGTTGGACAATGGTGACGAAGGCGGCAACAGCAGCCGCGGCAGCGGCGACGGCAGCATCGTGGCGTTGCCTGCTGGTACGGGGCATCCCGGCGCCCATCCAACCGTGAACAATGGTATCTGCGTAGTGCGGGACGATGCGGGAAATACCAGGGATGGACATTCGATCGTGGCAGGAAGTGTGCGGCATGAATTGAGAGGCTTCGTGCTCGTGACCTACAGTGCGGGATGGCCGGTGGTTGCACGATGGGTTTATTTGGCAATGTATTTTCTAGGTTGGGTCCTGTTTTTTGTCTGTTGAAAAAGATTGAGGACTGCGTCGACGAAGACTGTTGTGTTGCAATGCGCACGAACGGGTGTGTATGGTCTGAGGTATTTACTGTGTCTTGCATTTGTTGAGGACATGGTTTGAATTGTTTTAAAAATTCACTAGGCCGAATGGTGGAGTTGGTATTGTTGGGTTACTGCTAACGCTGCTGTTGAAATTCATGGGGGGGATGAATGTGATGCTGACGTCATAATCCTCTCCGCAGTACAAGCAGAGTTCTAAAAGTTTCTGAGTTTGGTTGTTCATGTTGTTAATGTTTTCGCGTTGTACCTGCGGAAAATGAGGAGAAATGCAATTTCTTGATTGTTCGCGGTTCCGCGTTTTACCTGTGGAGTTCGGAGGTAACTTCATAATTGTTTGATTTCTCGTTGTAAGATTGGAGAGTTTTCTTGCATTTACTGCTGTAGGGCGGATTGAGGATTCGAGAGTTGTTTCTTTTATTGACTGCAGTCAGACGGATTGAGTTCCATGGTCAGAAATATTTTGAACGGGAGCTGTCGAAAGATACGTTTTGTACGCTGTTTCTTGCGATAAAGACGAAGTATTTGATGGATTGGATTGAATTCTACGATTGGGGGATTAGACAGCGGAGGGGCTGTTAAGAATGCATCTCTTGACGTTTGAGCAATGGCATAATTGGTGAAAGTTTCCTCTTGCGTATTTATTTGCGCCGGGTTTTTAACCTGTCTATTTTTGCCGTATTTGATATGTTGATTGTTTCGAACGATTTGTTGGAGGAAAGATTTGGCATATTTTGGTAAGACGTGGTTGAGGCCAATGTGATTCCGAAGCCTATTTGAAATCGGTCCGTGAGATGAAACATACTTTTGTGCGAGAAGTTTGTTCGAAACATTAGTTGACGCGTTTTGCCAGATTTATTACTCCAGAGTCATTATGGCGTGGCTCTGATGTACTTGGTAACGTTGATCGTTGCTGAGTGTTTCCAAGGATGATTCTTTGTTTTGGGCTACTGTAGAATTTGGTTCTGACATTTTCTCGAGAGGGCTAACTGTTGAGACCGAATGTGAAGTTCCATCGTGGATTAAGGAGGAAGAGTAACCTGCAATTTGAATATCCGATAGATCCGGGAGTTGAGATGGTTCGCGGATATGAAATATGAATAGATTCTAGATTTGTTGCCGTTTTTAATAGTTTATTTTTGCGAAAAGAGTGGTCCGTTTAGGGGTACGCTTTTTGTTTTGCAAAAAAAAAGCTGTTTAGAGGGATCGTGTGTGGATGTATGTGCGCACGAGAAAAAGAATAATTTTCATGCCCAGGGGCGTGAAGAAGGCGCAATGCCTGTCTGTCTGTCTGTCTGTCTGTCTGTCTGTCTGTCTGTCTGTCTGTCTGCGCGCCCTAAATAACCCAGCAGACTCGAGCCCATTCCACCATCTCGGCACCAAATTGCAAACTAAAACTTGCGCACAACAAGTAACATTTTGCCCGAGCTGTCCCAACCGCTACCTTTGCAATCCGTGGTCGGTGTCTCGAGATAGCACACCGTTTGTGCAAATATATATGTCACATGGACGCATCCCCGGGTTCTCGGCCGGGAGGCGTCATTTTTGTTTTTTGGGCAACAAACTACACGCACGCAAGAAACCACGACGCACTGCCGTGCTGCACACACTGCTGCTGCTACTGGCAAGACACGCACTACACAGAGACAGGGAACATGGACAAGGGGGGCGGGACACACACACATACTGCTGTTAGCGACGGCGGAGGAAGCGGGGAACGTTTGGTTGGTCTGGGGTTCATCGCTGATGATGTTGTTGTTGTTGTTTCCGTTGTTTGTTGTTGTTCAACGCTGCCGGCCTTTTCGCCTTTCTCTGGAGAGGGAGTCCCACCAGCCAGCGTGTGTTACACACACCACACAGCGAGAGCGGGACGGGAGCAGGGTGTGCCCTATACTACTGCTGCTGTTAGCTTTCGGCGGAGGAAGCGAGTGGAGAGATTTTGATTGGGTCTCTGTGGGTCCATCGGTTGGTTGTTGTTATTGTGTTGCGACGCGGCGGGAGGGAGCGGCCTCTGCGCTGGAGAGAGGCACACATACATCACAGCACGGAACCAGTAACACATCACGCTCGTTCCTGGACGATGTAGTACCACTGCTGTGCTGTGCACCTCTCTACACTCATTGTGGGCGAGAGGGTGTGTCGCCTCTGCTGCTGCTGCTGTTGCTGTTATCTAAAGCGGTGGCGGAAGCGTCCTGTTCAAACAATCAGCAGCAGCAGCACCAGCCGGGGAATTTTTCAACGTTTTTTTTTTTCCTCTCTAGCTGATGACGATGGATAGCACCCCCCCCTCTCTAGCTGGTGACGATGGATAGCACCCCCCCCTCACGGCTGACGATGGAGACCACCCCCCTCGCTAGATGATGATGGACACCACCCCCCCCTCTAGCGAATGATGATGGATACCACCCCCCTCTCTAGCTGGTGATGATGGACCGCCCCCCGTTCTTCTGTACGACGAGAAAATCACACGAGCCAGCCAATGAACAGACGCACGAGCCTACTGCAGGTACTTTTGTGCAACCACCACAAAAAACTATTCCACCTCCAACTCTAGTACTGGCGACCTGTTCGAAGGGTTTCGTAGATGTATCTCGGATCGAGTAGGGGGGCTGTTTGTGTGTGTGATACAAAACTCCGGGATCTCCGGGGGGAAGAGGCAGATATACATGATGGGTGTGATGGACTTGACGCCCTAGGCTCTGCTTGCCTGCCCATGTCTTACTCTTTCGTTAATACAAGGAACTTGAGTCACTCCATTGTGCAAAACGCTCTCGACAATAGCCCGCGAGCGTGATAACGCAGTACACGCGCCGAAACCAAAAACACCATTTATCGTGGAGTCACCAGACGTCGGTCGGTAGGGAAAGGTTCGGGAGGTAGGCACCGGAATACGAGGACAGCAGCAGCGGGTGGCTTGCCCGCGCGCGTCAAGGAGATCTAGGGAACAGGGTTTGGAATACAAGGGTAGCAACTGTAGGCGCGCCAAGGAGATCCAGGGAAAGCATTTGGAATACAAGGACAGCTGCCGTAGGCGGTTATTGCCAGCGCGCGCCAAGGACATCCAGCTACAAAAAACGAAAGAGCACTAGGGGAAAACAGCAGTAGGAGATACATCATCCCGCAATCATGTGGCACGATGTGTCTTCTGCTGGTGTTTTCTCCTGCTGCTGTTTTGTTTCTTGTAGCTGGATTTCCTTGACGCGCGCTGGCAAAAGCGGCCTACAGCTGTCCTTGTATTCCAAATGCTTTCCCTGGATCTCCTTGGCGCGCCCACAGCTGCTGCCCTTGTATTCCAAACTCTGTTCCCTGGATCTCCTTGACGCGCGTGGGCACAAAATCACCAGCTGCTGCTGTCCTCGTATTCCCGTGCCTACCTCCCGAACCTTTCCCTACCTAAGTCAGCTGACTCCACGATATATCGTGTTTGTGGTGTCGGCGCGTGAACTGCGTTATCACGCTCGCGGGCTCTTGTCGAGAGCGTTCTGCACAAAGGAGTGACTCAAGTTCCTTGTATTAACGAGAGGGCAGGCAAGCAGAGCCTAGCGCGTCAAGTCCATCACACCCATATATGATACCTACGTAACCCCCCCCGGAGATCTCGGAGATCCGTCTCCTGCCTAGTACACACACAAAGACAACGGCTTGAACAACATGTTTTAATATTTTCAGCCAGGAAGCGCTGCACTTGGCCCAAGTGGCCGTCTGCGTGGTGGCCTCCACGTCGACATACGACACCATCTTACCCTCGCACAACGAAGTGCACGTAAGTCTTTTAAGTGCGCTGACCTCGATTTAACCGGTGGCGTTTGGGATAAGTCATATCGGGTATAGGGTTCCACACACAATACACTACAAGCCGAAATGAACCGCTGTGTCTTGCTGTATCAACCACGCAAGTGCCACTCAATCCCTTCACGAAGGAACCCCCAGCACGTCCCCCGTTTCGCCTCGATTGAATCGTCGTCGGTGATGCTACGTACTCTTTCGTGGACCTACCAGGAACCAATGGGACGTATTCGTTCTCTGTGCTCACCTGGTGCGTCACGAGGACCCTCGTGCTCCCCTTGAGCCTGCCGCACACCACCTTGGAGAAGAGCTCTCGCCCGACGGCCGGGTCCACCGCCGACAACGGGTCGTCCATGAGGTAAGTGTCCGCCTTAAAAGGCAAGCAGCAGGAAAGGGGGAGGGACAAGACCCGGCGTGTTTCATTCAAGATACAATCACAGGCATTTCGATGAGCGAAGCAACTCGCCCGCAATCGTTTGTCCACGAGGTAAGTGCCAGCCCTGATAAACGCGGAAAAGAGGGGGAAGAGAGACCGGCGTGTTGCAAGCGGCAGACATTCAGATAAAAGGAAGAACTTCGACACGGAATAACGAGGTCTCGTCGTAGACAACAGCAGCACGGGACACATGCAGCGGATACCCTCGTTCCACCCCCCCCCAGTTCCCCACCCCGTACGCCTCCATCTCATCGTGGATGAGCGGCGCAACTCACATGCGCGTAGGCCATGCGGGCCAGCCCCACTCTCGCCTTCTGGCCCCCGGACAGATTGACGCCCCTGTCTCCGATACCGGTCTGGTCGCCCGATGGTAGAAGGGAGAGGTCCCTTTCCAAGGCACAGTCCCGTATCACCGCGTCGTACCTGCCCATCGCGAGAGAGAACGAGACAAGACAGACAGACAGATGAGACCGACAGACCGAAAGATAAGACCGACGGATAGATGGGACAGACAGACAAAAAGAGAGGCAAGAGAGGAAGAATAAGGCAGACAGACAGACAGACAGACAGACAGACAGGAAGGCAGGCAGAGAGGCAAAAAGGCAAAGAGAGAGAGAAAGAACGATACACGCAGGTAGCGAACTTTCAAAGCCATATTGTTGATAAGGGGATCACAGCATGTGCCTTCAGAAGGTCCAACACCCTGCTCCAGCCTTCTATCTCTCTGCAAACGCCATCTGCACCTTTCCCTACCTCTTTTGGTCCATGGCTCTCCCGAACAAGATGTTCTCCCGTAGCGTGCCCGACTGAATCCACGGTTCTTGTGAGGCGTATGCCAGGCTTCCCAAAACAGATACACCCAGCTCACTATTTCGCTGCGTGCAACAAAGAAAACATGCAGAAGCAGTAGCAGCAGCAGCAGAGGCAGCAGCAGCAGCAGCAGGGGCAGGGACGAAAGCACGCGAACAAACGCAATGCGGAGGAGTGCTCAGCTCGAAGGGGGCAACAAGAACAACCTGCAGAGGGTGCCCAAGGCAGGACGGCTGCAACCTCGAGCCAACGCGAGTCCAGCACCGTCCTCCGGCTTGGGACAAACGCGATCAAAATGTTCAGCATCAGGGAAGGTACACGGGAGATATTGGCGAGTTGACGCTCGAGACAACATCGAGGAGGAATGCGATCATATGTTCTTACAAAAAATTAGAGGAAACATGCCTGGTTCTTCCAAAGCCACCACTAGCACGTTTGCGGCGAAAAAAGCAACAGACGAAACTGCTGCACCCCCCCACCACCCCCCCTAATCCCTCCCTTCGTGTGAAAACTGAATGTACGGCGACACGAACCTCTCCGCGGCCGTGGCCAGCACCTCCCTCGGCTGCCGAAGCCCCTCCCACTCCAGCCGCGCTCTCTGGCGCGATCTCCCTGAGCACGGCCATGAGTAGCGAGCTCTTGGAGGACCCGACTGGCCCGACCACTCCCACCAGCTGCCCCGGCTCGATCCGCAGGTCGATGGCGTCAAGCGTCAATCCTTAAACACACAAGTCGTACAAGGATTGTACACAAGTAGCTTCGTGGGTTGGCTGGTGAGTGGGCCGATCACATGCCTGGTACGATCCTCAGTCCGTCGTACGGACGGTAGAGTTGTCCAGCTGTACGCGCACGGGACGGAAACATGGTGCCGACACCATAAAATTCCAAAACCCCACACGGCAAAAACGCATCCTATCATACACTGTGGCACCCATTTCAGGCCACTCCTGTGCTAACACCGCTACGCAGTAGCCCCTCTCCTCCCCCCCCCGTCCCCCGGCGGGCTCCGTGCTCTAGTGTAGAGGCCGCGGAAGTTGCAGAACAGCTGGGTGACGCTGAGGCCGACATCAGGGAGCGGCCCCGGTGTGTGATCCGCAACAAAACACAACGCGGTACCCCGTCCGTCAGATATGCGGTGAGATAGAACCTTTCTTGGCATCGCCCCCGTATCTTGCGGCATCGATGTCTCTTACAGCGGCACCAGCCGTGAACGACTCTCACCTCCGGCGTTGGCTTCAGCTTCGTTGTCCTCTTCTACCTGCGCAGTCTCAGCTCCATCGCTGATCCCTTCATCCTTAGCCGCCTGAAACAAATTCGAGGATCATACCCAAGCGTGAGTCGGCGTGCGAGAAACGAGTGCCAGGTGGTAGACGGATGCCATGATCCCGCGCCGATGGAGAGGGTAACTCACAGTTCGCTTCGTGAACTGCTCCTACGCTTGTTGCACTACTCGTCGCAAACTGCGGTGCGTTTTGCTGCGATATCTCGGTTCGATGCCAATGTGCCACCCCACTCGTTGCACGCGCCTACAACCGCCCCCACACCCTTCGTGGTCCAACGAGCTAAAAAACGCTCACCTGTGCCTCCCTTTCGTACTAATCCCCGTCAGATCCCTGGAGCAACCTACCACGGTCCGCCTACCAGCATTCCTCCCGTACCCGTAAACCACAAGAAATACTGGATCAACGGCGATACACACATGGACCCACAGGCACACTTCGACGACGCCCGACCACATGAAACCATCAAGAACACATCGACGACACGGTTCTCGTTGAAACGTCCCGCAAACTCTCCCCTTTCCCCCGCCACGCGCATCGCACACCTTTCGCTTCTTCTCGTCGCCCTCCATCAAGCCGCGGAAGATCTTGGCGTGCTGATCCTCTTCCCCCCCGCTGACCCATCGGAAGCTCGCCCCCTTCAACGAAACCAGGCCCGGTCTTGCGTCCCCCGTGCCGGTACCACCACTCTCGTCGCCACCGCTACCGCTTTCCAGTTCAACACCCCGAGCGCATCCAGGCGTGGACGATGCCCCCCCCGCCTCGCTTCCTACGACAGCGTCTGCTGCCGCTGCTCCTGGTGCGGAACCCGCTCCCGCCGCGCTCATCTCTGCCTCGGCCGCGGTAGGGGCCCCGCCACGGGAGGCCATCGCGGAGGGGGGGGAAGGGGTAGACCCAGACCCTGTTGGTGTCGACGCCTCGGCGGCGGCGGCGGCGGCGGCGGCAGGGGGGTTTGGAGGCACCCTCTTGTCCGGCTTGATGGCGAGGTCGAACTCTCGCAGCGGCGCAATTAGAGTTTCATTCTCCTGTGGGCCATCATCAAGCAGCCGGCGGCGTCAGCGTCGCCGGCACAAGTAATGCCGACAGCGGGGGAGGCGGGCCGCCAGCCAAGAGCGTGTTAGTTGGGCCGTCCTGGTAACAAAAAATGGAGGCTGTACGTCATCTGTTTGCCGACGACGACGCAAAAAAAAGGGGGAGATGGCACCTCAAAATTATTTCAAAAGAACTCTGCTATGGTGGCTTTCCTTCTTCCTCTGTGAGTGTGACCCCGGCTGATGCCGTGCACAAAACACACACCGAAAGGTGCAAAAAAGACTGACGTCCAGAACTCATGGGACGAAAACACGACACGCGATATTCGTAAGCACACACACCTCCATGAGCAGGATGGTCTCCATCCGCTTGATAGAGACCCAGCTCTCGCTGGTGGTCTGCACGGCAAGGTAGAGGAATTTTCCCATCGTGAACTGGGTGATGTTGAGGAGCGCCAGCGTGGTGAACACCTGCCACACCGCGATCCCCAAGTAGAGGACAGGCAACGGCGCGTGAGCATGTACAAAGGTAGGCTTTCTCGGAGCAAAGGCGTGACACTCGAGGAGAAAACTTGTGCGGCACAAAAGGCACATTTTCTCCCAACGCAAGCCGGGTATTGCATAGACATCATAGCTTGTACGTGAAAAAGGAGCTGTGTACGTGCACGAAGGTCTCCAACAACCGGGACGCGAGTGCAAGATTGCGTGCATACGAGATTGGCTGCACGCCGAACAAGCGAGCTCCCGCGGGGTAGGACCGTGGAGGTGCGTCAACCTCCTTTGTTCTTTCACAAATCTCTATCCACCGGCAAGATTCAACTTCCGATTTTCCTTCGAGAGCCGTTCCAGGTTGTGTACACGCTATCCTCAGGTTGAACACACGCCACTATTGTGCTAATCACGCGTCATCAAAAAAAGATGGTAACAAAAAAGACAGAAAATATATATGAAAGCACGGGAGGGGGGACGGGTAACTTGCCGCGTCCATCCAATCACCTGCCGTGGCGTGAGGACGTTTCCGAGCAGGTGGTATGTGGCGAACACGAGGCATGATAAGACGGCGGGCTGTACGAAGAACATGGCCTCGTTGATCGCGCGAAGCAGGGTGGCCTTGAGCAACACGCGAATCTCCTCCGCGCGCACCCTGGGGCGCCAAGAGGCCGACAGAGAGAGAGAAGGAGGGAGGGAGGGAGAGAGAGGAGAGAGAGAGAAAGAGAGAAAGAGAGAGAGAGTTTGGTGTTGGCCGATATTGGCACTTGACAGATATCGCAACAAGCAAATGAGCAGCAGCACCAAAAAACACTCCGCACTGCTATCTACTGCAGATGCTGCTACTCCTAGAAGTGTACTTCTGCTTTTGTGCATTCTCAATCCCATTGCCTGCGAATCTCCTTCTCCAAGGCGGGTTCCCAGGCGTTGATCTTCATCAGCCTCGCACCCGTGACGGCCTGATTGGTCAGCTTCACCCTCTCGTCGGTCAGGACTGTCACGCGCTGCCGCACCTGCGAGAACCTGCGGGAAAACGCCGCCTGAAAGCGCATCAGGGGGAGAAAAACAGGGCGAGAGGTCCAACATCAGACGATGCGGAACAGCGGTAGCGGCAGCAGCAGCGATACGGACAACAACAAAACAACAACAACAACAACAACAACAACAACAACAACAGCAAGCAGCCGCACTTTTGAACGTAGAGCGCCAACTTGCCGGGAAAAAAGTCGGCGGCCATCAGATTTACTTTCCGCCTCCCGTTGCACGCAGCACGGGGAACCTTCGGGCGTTCGGGGGGGGGTCCTGAGATCTGAGGGTGGTTTCAAGTTTCGTGTGCCACGCAACACAATTCGACTTTCATTGCTGTCGATGGGTGAAGGGATCGCTTTCGACGAGGCCCACACACGTATAGGTCTACTTTCGGAAAGAGGGTCCATCGCTGCTTTGCGCCTCGGAAACAAAAGGCCAGAAAAAAGGTACAAGCGACACGCCTACGAAAGAAGCGATTCCGGTCAGTCTGCAGAAAAGAAGCGGGCGCCTGTAGATACCTCGTCCAACGATGACCTCACCGCACCATCCTCTCTCGTAGGCCAGTACGTTGACACCCGCCAAAGCGAGCCGACTGACCGCAGCACCCATCGTTGTTGCGAGCATCGCGCACAGTCACCACCACACCACTCCACGCTTCACCACGCCTCACCACACCTCACCACACCACACCACACCACACCACACCACACCACACCACAAGGATTCCCGGGCGCCGCTGCCACCGGGTCGCCGCCACGTTTTTTCGAGCACGTTTCAACGCATTTTTCGCGGCTACTGTACACCACCGCCAACTGCTGTAGCAACGACCGCGAGACGTCGAAGGAGCAGGAGTGGGAGGGTCTCTTCACGCGCGCATATGCCAAGCTCGGGCAACACACCTGCATGGGGACTATGAGCGCGAGGGCCGCGAATCCCGCCAGAAAGGACACTCCGACCAGGTCCAATCCGAAGTACAAGATGACCAGGCTCTCCAGGGGAGCCTCCCAGAGGTAGTTGACGAACAAACCTCCGTACTGAAACCTCTCCACGTCGCTCGTCGTCAGGTTCACCAGGTGTCCGGTGGAAATCTGGCGCGCGAACCAGGCGTGTTTGTTCGAACATGGTTCTTGTTGTGGTCGTCGTTGGTGGTGGTCATTGCTGTTGTTGGTGTCGATCATCGATGTGTTTGACTTGATGTTGATGAGTTCTATTTTGCCGCTATGGTGCTGGTTTCAAACGCCACCAGTTATATCTGTGGCTGCCCTTGTTGGAGATGCTAACAGTGTGTGTTGCCCCTTGTTGGAGATGCTCACAGTGTGTGTTGCGAGTGTTCAGCCGCAAGGTTGGTCTCACGTGCCGCAGCAACGCAAGCATGTCACGCACACGGTTATACCGTAAACGTCGGAGTTTCCCCCCCCCTTGTAGAGTTGTCCCCTCCCCCCCGGTGTTTGCCATCGGGGTTGGGTTTTCGTCGCTTGGCA